ACAAGGATGAAGATAGTGTTCCCCAAAGATAAATACACCAATAAGGCCTGGTGCCCTAACCCATTTTGTTTCTCAAGAAAGTCCACTGGGACCCACTCAGCAGTGCCCATGGCAGGAGTAACCACCAAATCATATAAGCAGTAAATTATGTCTAAGAAGACTAGTGTTATATTAAAATGTGTAAAGATCTGCAGTTAGAAAGCCCAAATGCAAGAACACACTCAGCCTGCCTCAAGCTAAAAGAACTGAAGAAGAAATTCAAGCCTCAAGTTATAGTATTGAAGGATTTCATGGGCAAAATATTTAGTGGCAAAATATTTCAGGAAGCATCAAAAAAAGATGAAAGGAATGTACAGTCATGGTACCAAATAATTAGTTGGCATTCAACCATTTCAAGAGGTGATTTTGAAGTAAGGTGTCCAAAGTACAGTAAAGGTATTTGCCAAATCAAAGCTCCAGTAACCGATGAAATATTTAAACAAGCTGATAAAATGTCAGAAACATTCGCTAGTCTAAGTCAAGAAATTAGGAAGACAGTTATTTGTCCAGCTGACTAAAAGACATGCATATTAGTATACATTCTAGAAAAGGTGACATCATAGAATGCAGAAATTATCAAATAATATCATTGATAACACATAAAAATAAAAGTCTAATGTAGGTCAATCAAAAGGATTTAGTGCAATATACTGACAAGGAGTTGCCATAAATCCAAGCTGAAGTCAAGACCATGGTATGAAGGAGATCACTGTTGATATCAAATGAATTTTGGCTGAAAGTAGAGAACACTAGAAAAATGTTTCCTTGCAAAGGCATGTGACTGTGTGGATCATGTCAAACTATGCATAATATTGAGGAGAACAGGAATTCTAGAACACTTCATTGTGCTCAGGGGACCCAGTACATAGACTAAGAGACCATCGCTCAAACAGAATCAAAGAATACTTAGTAGTTTAACATCAGGAAAGGTGTGCATTCAGGTTGCATCATTTCACCATACTCGCTCAAATTGTATGTTGAGCAAACAACTTGAGAAGCTGAACTATAACACGAAGAAGAAAATATTACCTGGATCTAAGAAAGACTTATATAGGACCTGCGATTTCCAAGTGGTGCAGCCTTACTCATTGGAAGTGAGAAGGCTCAAAGCACTTGCTAATGAAGATCATAGACTATATATAGCTGTCCGTATGACGTGGAGTACAACTGACTGTAAATAGAACAATAATCCTCACAGTTGGCCCAACAGACAGTATCACGATAAGCTGAGCAAACATTGCAGTATTTAAGGAGTTTGTCTTCCTTGGATCCACAGTCAATGTCTTGGAAGCAGCAGTCAAGAGATCAAATGGCACTTTGTGTTGTGTCAATCTGCTGCACAAGACCTCTTTCAAGTGTTGGAAAGCAAGGGTGTTACTTTTAGGACTAAAGGGCACCTGCCCCATTCCATGGTGCTATCAATCATTTCCTATGCATGCGAAAGTTGGACATTGAATAAGGAAGACGGAAGAAGAATGGATGCGTTTGAATAGTGGTGCTGGTGAAGAATATTGAAGTATTATAAACCGCCAAAAGAACAACGACAAAAAAATCTGTCTTGGAAGAAGGACAGGCAGGAGGCTTCTTAGAGACGAGGATGGTGCGACGTCCTCACAGGTGCACTGGCCATGCTGTCAGAAGAGACCGGTGTCTGGAAAGGACATTGTGCTCAGTAAGCAGAAGGTCAGCAGAGAAGAGGAAGACCTAGACAAAATGAATGGACCCAGTGGCTGCAACAATGGGCTCAGACACAATCATTGTGAGGATGGTTCAGGGCAGGGCAGTGCTTTATTCATTGTCCATATGATTGCTGGCTTGATGACACATAACACCATACATGGATACATGTGTGTATGCAATTGCATATATAGAGAGATATATGTAAATGCAGAGAGAATGCATATGTCCTATATATGGAACAAACACATGTACATATCTAGTCACATATTAATCATTAAAATATTTCATGATGTGTAAAATATTTTAAAGCAAACGGATGTATGTATTTTACATGTAATCAGAGAATATATATATGTGGAAAACATATATCTCCAATATGCAATCCATATACATACTCCACATATAACCTACTGAAATGCAATCATCCATGATTCACATGCTGTGTATATTTATATTTTCCTAACCTTTCAAAGGGTGAACTCCTAAGCCTTCTCCAGTGTAAATAATGCATTGAAGTAAAATATGGACTGTCAAACTCAGGTGACAATTAATTATCTAGCACATAAATCCTTCCTTCCAAATGACTAATACACAGGCCACCGTGCATAAATGTTTCTCTGAATTTTGTTTGAACTACTAGCCTCATAACATCAGAAGGTGCAGTCTGGATAATTTCCATTAGAAAAATAATTATAGGCTAAATATGGTTAATAAAACATTAACTATAAATTTGAATATTTTAAAAGCATGTCCTTCTAGGAGCAGTTTCTAATGAATTTTGATGAAAACACCATGATTACTTAAGAAAAAATAAATAGATGTGATTACTAGGAACAATTGTGAAATTGATGAATTACAAAAAACAATTTTAACTCGGAAATAATTATTCTGGGCAATCTGCCTCCGAAAATGGATGAGCAGGAGAGGAAGGGAGAGAGAAAAAATTCTTTGCGGTTGACAGAACATTTTGTCTAAATTTGATGCCATTCTGGATTTATGGATGTGTATTACAGTATTAGTAAATCTAAAATTCTTCAGGTGTTAAAGTTTAACAGAATATCAAAACATAAATTATTGTTGATAGATTTTATGCTGACGTAAAGGGTCGATGGAGAGGTCTTTTCTCCACTCACCACAATGACCTTGCCTCTCTCCCAGGCTGACCAAGGAGACACTCACCTCTAATGCAGTTTTTAGAAGACTTGAGAAGGCCACGCTGACCTGCCATTCCCAATCTTCTACTGCTCTGTGCCTTCAGCCCACTCAGATCCCGTCTTCGTGCCTCCTGTTTGCACCCAAGATTTGCCCTGGAATGGCAGCCTCCTTGCCAGTCCCTTCCTTGCCACCCAGTAGGTACCACATCCAACACTAACACCAAAATGTACTTCAAACTTCTTTGGCTTTGGGTCCCAGCTCTTGGGACCTCCCCATAGGTGATAGTTCACATATCAGATAAGCGAACCCTGCTTCTTTCCTAAAGAGAGAAACTAATGTAGAAGAAGCTCCTCTCTCCTGCCCTGAAGATGGCCACCAGTCCCTGAGAGAGGAGCTTGGAGCAAGAACTCTGGGACAGCAAAAGGAACCAATTGCATCTCCTCCATTCGGAGGGGACACTGTTGGGAGAGAACAAAGACTTGCTACACCCTTTTCTAAGGGAAGGGAGTGCATTTTCTGCCTACACTAACAATGCAGTCTACTAACCATGCCCACTTATAAGAACGGGAAATTTGTGTGTGTTTGAGACTCATTGAATATTAACCAGGAGAATATTGACCTCAATGATTTTCTCCTGGCTCTGCCCTATCTCCACCCTCATGCTGTGAGCTGGAAGAACGTTCTCATTTCCCAATCTTCATTTATCAAAATTTTGAGGACCAATTTTCCATCTCAGCTGTCCTTATTCTCAGGAAACCTGTGAAGCAAAGCTGGGATTGCGTGTCTGTATGCATGTGTTCATTTATTTATTCATGCACGTCACTCATTTGTTCTATCATCTATCTATCTATCTATCAATCATCTATCTATCTATCATCCATCCATCCATCTATCATCTATCTATCTATCCATCCATCTATCATCTATCTCTCTATCTATCTATCTCTCTATCTACCTATCTTCTATCTATCTTTTATCTATCTCTACCAGAGGGCTCCTTAGATGTAAGGATGGGGAGCCTTCATCTCACATACTTCGGACATGTTGTCAGGACAGACCAGTCCCCTGAGAAGGACATCATGCTTGGCAAAGTGGAGGGGCAGCCGAAAACAGGAAGGCCCTCAGCGAGACGGGCTGACACCGTGGCTGCAACAAGAGGCTCCGGCACAGCAACACTGTGAGATGGAGCAGCGCTGGGCAGTGTTTGCTCTGCTGCGCACGGGGTCGGAAGTGACTCAATGACACCCCACAAGATCAACACCCTTCTGTCATCCTCTTCTGTTTTTCTACATACTTGTCTCTCAGAGAGCTCTCTGCCTACGGCTAAAGCTGATACCGAGACACCATCAACTGTTGGAAATATCACCAAGCAGACTAGAGGTGAGGTTCGGCCTAACAGGAAGCCTCATTCCCAGGTGTCACTGCACTGCTGTGTCCCAGTGTGTGCACCGATGGGTGTCATTGTGAGGGGGGCTGGAAGGCGAAGGTCAGAAATGGTCAGGAGGCCAATCCCTGCTCCCACTCTCTCAGCCTCCTCGGGTCCTGGTCCCACTCATCACGTCAACCGAGCATGGAGAAGTTTCCCCAGCCAAGCATCCTGCCCAATGACCTCAGAGGACACTTCCATGCCTGGGTGCGCTTCTCCATCTCCCCTCGGCCCGGGGCCCTGGGGATCTCCCAGGCAAGAGCTAGAGCCTCAGCAACACAGCCGGGTGAGCCAGCAGGAGGACAGAGGGTAATATGCACAGTTTCATAGATGAAAAACTCAAAGAAAGGCACTGCGTGCCTTTTTCTAAACAAAACACCCCAGCCAATCAGTTCTGGCTTATTAACAATCTGTGATATTCAGCTGACCCAAAACTGCGTGCTGGACGTGAGGAATACTTGAAGCACGTATTGATGAAAGGCAAGGCCTGCAACCTTCCCTATAGGTTAGCAGTCAGTGTAAAAGAAAACAAATAGCACCACAACGGGACCAATAGGTAATCTCATGATCCATGGAGACAAGATTGAAGCTGTCAAGGATTTCATCTTGCCTGGATCCACAGTCATTGCTCATGGAAACAGCAGTCAAGAGATCAAATGACACATTGCATTGGGTAAATTTGATGCACAAGATCTCCTCTATACATACCTGGCAGGAGAGATACCATGATCACGAACGTGGTTTTCCCAGGGTGAGGCTTATCCATTGCACTCTGGATGTGCTGACCCCTGTGATTTCCCCAAATATGGGAAACTCAACTGCATAATTTGTGGCAGTGGGGCACTGTGTTCATGCTCAAAAAAAAAAAAAAGATCTCCTCAACATGTTGAAGAGCAAGGGCATTATTTGAGAACTCAGCTGTGCCTGCCCTAAGCTAGGATGCTTTCAATTGTCTCATACATGTAAAACGTAGGCAGTGAGTCATGGATGCCTGTGAGTTATCGTCTTGGTGAATAAGACTGAAAGTACAATGGACGACCAGAAGAACAAACACACCGGTCTAGGAAGAAATGCAGCCAGAATCACTCCTTAGACGCAAGGATTAGCAGAGCGTATCACGCACTTTGGACATGTTGTCAAGAGAGTCCAGTCCCTGGAGAAGGATAGCATGCTTAATAAAGTAGAGGATAGGTGATCAAGAGGACAAGTCTCAAGAAGGGGTGACACAAGGGCAGCAACAATGGCCTCAAGCATCGCAACCACGAGGCGGATGGCAGGAAACTGGGCAGAGTTTGCTCCTGTCATCCATAGGGTGGCTGTGAGTCAGAACTGACTTGAGAGGACTCAACAACACCCATCGCCACACTCAGTTCCCTTGCCTCCAGGTAAGAGCTGAGCTCTTCCACCTTGACCGGCTGCTCTGGGATGCAAGCCAAGAGTTTTCAACTCCAGGTGCCGGCACCTTGTCTTTCATACCTAAGGGCCCTGTAGATCCACTCACGGGTGCAAGCAAGGCATTTCTATGCCCATTTTACAGAGGAGGATACTGAGGCTCAGGGAAGCCAGGAGCCATAGGCTAGAATTGACAGAGGCTCCTGTCTTACACCTGCCCACTACCCTACACTGTTTCTTTACACATACAAGCTAGCAAGAGGTCTCTCTTCTTTGGTGTTAGCGTTACTGAGACCCGGTAAGGACTGCTTGGCCCCTTCGATGCCAACCCCATTGGGAGCCCATTCTTGCAGCTGATTTCTTCTGGCCGTGGTGATGTACTGCAAGGTGATTGATTCAAACACGTGCCAAGGACTTGAATCTTCAGGGTAGGCCATGCAGGACCCGTCATCTGTGTGGGTTCCCTCTCCTCTGTGCCCTGTGATGTCCATCCCTATTGGTGACATCAGAGTCTCCTTGGTCCTGACCCTACCCCCATCCATCCTCCCACCCCCTACCAAGCTCTAGCTTCTTCTCCAGCTCTGTGATTCCAGGGCCAGTGGATCAAAAACACAAATTAAATTTCTCTGAAATCAAATATGATTTCACAAATGAGTAGTTATCTCTGGCAACATATTCTTAAGCTTTGTTTTTCATCACCCCCCCCTTCCCTGAAAGTCTTAAAAGTAAGCTTGAGATGTTACTAAAGTCTGGACATGCCATTCTCCATGCATCAGTATAATTGGAGAAGAAAACAGATGCGCCATTACATATGAGTCAGAAGGGACCCTTCCAGCCAGATGCAGCCACGGATGCAAGCACATGAGATGGAATATGTATCCATTTACTCCCCATCCCCCACCCCGGACTCTGGATGACAAAAGCTTCCTTCTTGGAAAAGCCTGGACTCCACAAGGAACACATTGGGCTTACAAGGATGTTTACGATAATCGAGAGATGGCATTGGTTAAAAAGAAGAAGAAGAATTTTCAAGCAGAGAAGAATTCTTTGTGGATGTCTCATCTCCTGGGAGGCTTCACACACAGTGCAGGCGATGTGAACGCGATCCTGGGAATGATCTTCTCACGCATGTGGAAGTGGAGGAAATCTTCTCTGGATTCTTCTCAATCTTCTCAATCAGTTAAGGTGACTATTGTGCATTTGTTTTCTATGGTCATGCCCAGAAATGCCATGTTTGGTGTAGAGCAGTCCACCTGCACTCTCTCCCCTCTTGTCGCTTTTGGGGAGGGATGGAGTGGGGAGCCATGGGAGGTTGGGGAGGGATGGCTGGGTGGGGGAGCCATGGGAGGTTGGGGAGGGATGGTGGGGAGAGCTGTAGGAGGCTGGTTCCACCTGCCCTTTCTCCCTCCCCAAGCAGCTCCCATTGCTTTGCTTGCCAAGGTACACATTCTGAGGATACAAGTCTTTCTTCTTCTCATACCAGAAGCAAAATTACCTTGAGATCGACTTGGGGGCAGGGATGTGCCTCAGAATTTTGGGAGAGCTGTGGCCCAGCTGGGGTTGAGGCAGTTGGAGGATGGGCTCAGTAGTCGCCAAAGGTGGTGAGGCGCCTGTCCACACATCAAACAGAGGTGGTGGGAGCCTTGTGGGTGGAGGGATGTGGCCACATGCACACCCAGAAGCCTTTGCCGGCACCTGAGCGAGCCTGGAGCATCCCCGGGATCGCTTCACCTCTGCACGCCTTCATCATACCCGGAGGTCCATTAGCTAATTGATCCTAGCTTCTCCCAAGGTCCCTGTCAACAGGCAGGTCCAGGCTTCCCTAGTCTTTCCACAGCCTGGAAAGAGCCAGCCCAGTCCCTGGGATAACTCACATCACTCCCATTTTTCCTCGACAAGTTGATAGTCCTACTCCCAAGTGACCATGCTAATGCACTCCTCTCCACCCACCCTCCTCCCAATTGTCCAGCCATCCAGGACCATCCAGGCCATCTGATTTGCACCATCTGGCCTGGACCTTCACACGGACATCGAAACACCAAGCACCCACTCTGGCCCTTGTGGATGTTGGCACATTCGCTTTACATTTGCTTCCCTCGAGTTCCTACCCCAGGCTGGCCAGGGTCTCCCCTCCCTGCTCAGCACCGCGTTCTGGGCCCTGGCTCCAGGGCCTGCCACTTGGACTGCTCCCAATGGCTCCTCCTGGGGCTGTCACACAAGCTCCTCTCTCAGTCTTCCATGGCACCGTGACCTTAACCTGTGAACCTCAGGTGCTCAGTGAAGGTGGGCTGCAATGAGATAAAAGCAACCTGGTTGAAGACAGGAGCTTCCTCTCCTGAAGTGCAGGGGGTCTGGCTCTGGGACTATGATGTGGGAGCAGTGCCTACCTCTCAGGGACAGCATGCCCTCCCCCAGCACTGTCAACCCCAGTACCAGCTCCTTAGTCCCTTTTGGAGAATTTGGCAGCACCCCACTACTGCAGTGAGAGAGAGACAGCAGCTACCAGGCAGTGGGGCCCAACATTCACAGTGAGGAGAATGGTGAATGGTAAACAGTTGCAGGTGGGCATGGTATCATGATTTCTCTCCAGATCTCCTCTGACAGGGGTTAATATATAGCTATATGACTCAATGAACGGAAAGTACCAGGGGATTCCCACATACCACATACAAAGAACAGACCAGGGGCCAATTAAATCCTTTGTGCTATAATTACTGCTGATTCAACAACCCCTCATTATGAGTGAGTAACATCTTCAAATTGTCAAACGCTCAACTGGCTACTGGCTGCCACTTGCCTAACTTCCACTATCCTGTCCTGGGCCATAGGACAGGTGAGGCAATGCCAGGCCTATCACCTGAGCAAGACAGCCAGGACGGGAAGGTGTGCTTTGCTCTTCTTGACAGCCCATTGACGGTCCCCAGTTTTGCGTTTCAGGGTTTAGGTGGGTTTTGCTTGTGTTTTTGTTCGCTTGTTTTCCTGTGTGGGGTTGGAGGGACTGAAGTGGTAAGTGCACATGTTGAGAGCTGCTGGGACATCGGAGAAGCAGTTTCCAATTTGGGGGGAGTGAGTTCATTGTCAGTGAATCAGGAACATATGACTTTAATCACCGTACAAATTTATGCGCAGAATTCAACGGAAATGGCATTTGGCGAAGGCATGCTCATTTTCACCAGGGAAGGGATGGAATGGGACCAAGAAAAGAGAACAATGGGGAGTGCTAAAGGGTAGTGGGAGGCTCACCAGCAGATGAGCAGTGGTGTCCTGCAGGTACAGATGGTATCGATTCTCTCAAGTTTCCTCCTTTGCTGTCCATTGTCTGAGTGGGAGCCCTTTGCCCCTTCCTGTTCTCAGCCCCAGCAGCACCCTGCCAGGCCAAAGTATCCCTGATCTGTAGCCATTTTCAGGAGTGCCCAGGGTAGCCTTCCATGCCTTGGAAGCTCGTCTTTTTAAAGCTCTGTTGGGATGTGTGTCTCCTTCCCTTCAAGGTACACCTCAGAGCCTGCCCCAGAGCACAGTTAGAGGCCCATGTTCAATAGCTGTGGGAGCTCAGTCCGTGGAAGCAGGCCATCGATGCTGATTTGTGATGAAGACGATGGTGCTGCAAACATCTGGTTCCTTTTGGGCTAAGCGGACTTCTTTGGGAAGTTGGGGGGAAATGGACCACGTCTCCTGCCGTCGATGATGGTGGTATCATTAGCTGCTCTCAGGTGAGCTCCGATTCAGAGCAACCCCTAAACCCTGCCCAGTCCTGCACCAACCCCTGAATTGTTGTTCTGTTGGAGCCCATGGCTGGAGCAGTGTGCCAAGCCATATCCTTGAGGGTCTTCTTTTTCACGCCACCTCTGCTTTGCCAAGCATGATGTCCTTCTCCGGGGATTGGTTCCTCCTGACAACATGTTGAAAGTATGTGAGACGGAGCCTCCTATTCATGCTTCCAACAAGCGTTCTGGCTGTACTTCTTCCAACACACATTCGTGCATTCTTCTGTTGCACAAGAAATGAGAGGGAGTCTGGCTCCTTTTACTTTGCATGTGTTTACCACCATACAGGCATACTTCAGAGGTATGGTAGGTTCAGCTCCAGATTGCAATAAAGCGAACATTGCCATAAAGTAATCACCAAGATTTTTCGCCTTCCAGTGCCTATGCATGTTGACACTGTACTGTAGCTTGTAAAGTGTGTAATAGTGTGTTCAGTGAGGTTATCTAGAGAAACAAATCCATTGATACTCATATATGTATAAGGAAGAGGCATCCCAGCCCAGTCCAACGGAAGTCCATACGTCCATTGCCAATTGATAAGACTCAGCATATCTGCAGACTGATGACACAATGGTGGTGCAGGAGGCAGGAAGATCACAGTTCAGTGGCTGTAGAGTCACATGGATCCAAGGTTGGTGGAAACATGGCAGCGTGGCAACAGTTCTCAGGGTCAGGCAGCCCGTCTCAGGGGGCAAGCGGAGTC